CCACGTACTTGAAATCCCACGTAGCGGATAGAAACGCACGCGCGGTGCATAGCATATTACGCGATCGCGTGATCCACGATGTTACATAATTGACGAGCAAATTGATTGCGATCGTTTCGACGAAACGACGTGTATACGTCGCGCGGCAAGTGGAACGTCACTCGCGACATTCCTTGCTCACGGTGTGCCAGCATCGAAAGAACGCCGAACGGTGCACCGATGCACCGCGTATACATATATTTATGCATATGTCAGTCGGCGGCGGCGCGCTGACGCAACGCGGGTAATCGTTGTGAGACAGGCGGCACAATCTTCTTTTAACCATAAATGGACCTCGGCACGCTGACTCAATTCTTCATTACAAGATTCGGCCATGCCTGACATTGTTAGTATTCAGATATAAAAAGTTCATAAAACTGAAAGGTGCATGCCGATCATTAAGTCTTGCGCCAATATATTCATCTTAAGCGCTCTTTTCCGATTAAGGGAAAGTTTGCTTTAGCATTTAATATAAATATACTGCTCATGAAAAAAAAAAAATCAAAAGGGTTCAAATCTTCCGACTACACACTTACAATTTATTATTATGACGTTACTCGCGTCATTATTTTTATGTTTTCACGAAAGCGACGTGACGTGAATGAGCGTGGACGGACTGTATAATTTAAGAAAGCGGCGAAAACTCACGAAAAAAATGTTTTCCGGGTTCAGACAATGAAATGACCCGCTCTCTGCGGTTGCATTTTATCGTCGACCGGCTTATTCTTCTCCATCTGGAATGATGCGGACGGGAGAAAAAGAAAACTCTCGTGAGGGAGAACTGAAGAAGACGCGAGAGACGTGGAGAAAGAAGGAGAAGACCACTCGCAATTAAACACGGCGTAAGTCCCGCTCCGAGGATAATGCCCCGGAATGCTGATAATTGGCTGAACCGTCCGGGGCGACCCGAGACGAAGGGCTGCCCACAGGTGCAGCCGGCGGCACGGCAACGCGAGATCATCGACTCGCGATCCCTCGTGTCTAATTGATTCGAAGTGATTTATATTATCTGCCGTCTCTGCACCTCCCTCCCC